GGGGGGGGGGGGGTGAGCAAATTACTTTTTAAGGTTTTTGTGTTTGGATTGATGAGACTTGGCTGTGATATCTGGTGCATGTATATTTCATTTTCTAGGTTTGTGAAGGGATGTTATAGTTGGTTTTATGCCATTTGTCATGTGGGTGTGAATGAGAGGTGTTCATGATTATGCTGCCACTATCCCTTTGCCATGATTGCAACTTCAGGCTTCGTAAAATTCAAGTCTGTTATTCTTTGCATATTGTGGTGGGAAAAGGAAGGAGGGTTTTCAATGCAAGATCTAAAAACATATCTCTCATTTTTTAAAGGACGAAATTAAGCTATTGATGTGAAAGTAAGGGGCATCATTTAGTGAAAATGTAAGCGGATTTGGCTTAAAACTATGTTTTGAAGTAATAGATCGTAACAAGCAAACAGCTGGGTGCATGTTAAGAGGTTTGAAAAGTTGAAACAAGAGACTCTGGTGTTCCAAATTGAATAAGCTAGTGGAACTTAATGGAAGAATTGAACTACTATACTCAAAAAGAAGTGATACAATTCTGTTCCCATCAAAATCAGGTGGAGAGATGAAAAGGAAATGACAAGGAGCAAACATGAAGTGGACATAAACTGATGGTTTTATGAGGCGTGGGTTTGGAAATTTTCAGCTAGTTCCTATATTGATTTCCAGCACAATGATGAAAATTTGGAATATGTGTACTTCACTTCAAGTTCAATAAGCTGATGGTTTTGTGTCCATTTGCATTGTCTATTGGGCCATTCCTGTTCTGGCCATTTAAATACTCAACTGCTTTGAATTTAAGAGGCTGTATTCTGTTTATAACTCCCCAGCTTATCTAATTTTTGGGTTGTATTCCTATGGAAATGATTTTAAATTAATGTGCTTGGTTTATGTTTTCATACATGAATCCGTATCAGTCAAGTGTCTGAGTTTTTTTACCGCTTTTAAGTGTCTGAGGTAGCTCTTGTTATTCTATTTTTCTTTTTTTCTCCATTCCATGAAGGTGAAGGGCTCTAGATTTTCAAAAATATGTCTTCCCCTAGTGTTGGTGGGAGGTGAGTGGCCCTCAGAAAATACAAATCAAGAACCTACTAAAAGACCCAACCAACTGAAAGTTACATGGATTGGCTTTGAATATTCTCACTGACACCTGCATATGATTGCGTTCTGGATTAATTTTTGGTTTATTAAATCAAGCATTTTTGACAGTTGCTTATTCTAGATTAATAGATTTAATGAAGTCTCTTGACCTGTTGTTATACCTTGACACAAGTTAAGAGCTAAACTTCTGACTTTCTCATGCTTAGTAAGCATTCCATATAATGGCATTCTATATCCCCCCCCTCCTTTTTATCCTTTTCCTTTTTCTTTGGTTATTCAAACCTGGTTATCTTGGTCTTCTTGGTTGCATTGGTTGTACAAGAATTTGATGTCTGCAAATAAGAAGTTATACACATGAAACATGATCCTTTGTAATTGCTTTGGTTACCAGACTATGGAATTAGAGCTGAAGAAAATGTATGAAACTGTTACATCCATTCATGATGAGATGTTTTTTCTCCGAGAAAGGTTAGTGGGGTAGAATTTATCCTGAACATTTGTTGGTGGTGTTCTTCAAGTACTACCCTCACCTGCAGTGTTTACATATGTCCAATGCCTTTTGCAGGGAACAAGAGATGCAGGAGCTCAACAGATCAACCAACTCCAAGATGGCATGGTTAAGTTTTCTTTCGCTTGTTGTTGGCTTATCAGTAGCAGGTTTGCAGCTATGGCATTTGAAGAGCTTTTTTGAGAAGAAGAAGCTTATATAATTTTGTCATGGACAATATATAGTTTTCATATTTCTCTCATGTACAAGTTTCCATCAATAACATAGTCGTAACATTCTTATTGAATTTATAATAATTGAGGTACCAATTTGCACACAGTATTAGGGAGATTCTTGATTCTTCATTGAGTTCTCTACACATTGATTATTGTTTATAACCCATTTGTGGCAACAACCTGAAAACCACCGTATTTTTCATGCAGTTTAAGTTCCATATTTGCTTTGTAACTGAGTGTGTTGATGAGGATATTTCAGGGTTTGCTGCGATGAAATATTTAGTCAATTCGATGCAAATGACGATTTGTGAAAGGATAGCTTCCTGTACTACTTCACGAGACTTTGCGCCTTTCAAACAAGCACGCGCGCACACACAGAATTGCTAGTAGAGCACATCCTTGAAAGGCATCACAATCAGCAGCAGATAAAAATGTCGACCAACCAACGGAAACCACAGACATTATTCTGAAATAAGTGAAGAATTTACGTAATGTTCAGAAAAATCAACAAACCCAGCATTTTGACGTAGGGTAATGGTTGTGTGGGTGCATTAGTACACACTTAACACCGCAACAAAGATTAGGATCAGAAGAAGAACATTTTAGTAATCATTAATTTAGACGAGACTACTTTACAGGCTGTTCTGAGATCGTGACGAGACCACAGATCTACTGAAATAGAAAGTGTCACAATGTTTGTATTCAGTATCTGAACAAGAAATCAAAGGTTCCGTCACAATAATAACAGTAGTTAACGTCGTCCAATTGAGTCTATTCACAATTGCACCGGTGTGAAAATATACAGGATACCAGGGGAGGGCCACCAACATATCAAAGAAATGTCTCTGTCAGTCCATGTCTTTTTGCTATAATATGTCATGAAGTAAAGAGGAGCCAGTGATGATCAGACGGTAAGATTTCCTTAATTTTTTCAAGCCTCTTGAGAATCTCCAAGAAAGGAGGTCGATTGTTCATGTCTGCTGCCCAGCATTGCTCTGTCAAGCTAAAAAGTCCAATACAAGAAGAAATCAGCAACCCAAGATTCCGCTAATCTATTAAGCATAGAACTAATTTATGTAAATGGCAACTAAGATTTAAAGTTTAAGCTGACGCCCATGTTCCATTTTCTGGGCAGCCATATGGGAACTTTCTCGTCATACATATTGGTTAACCGAATACAAGTATTACTCATAAGTTGCACCACGACAAACTATCATGGTACCAAGTTTACGGAACCATAGACAATAACCATTAAGAGAGTTATCCGCAAAGAGTAATAAATGATACATGAACATCAGTAAATCAGTTTAGCTTCACGCCAAAGAGATCAAACATGAATTCCACTCTCTTTTATTCTTTTCAGTCAAGCTACCAATTAGTTATTTTACCAAAAGAAATACCTTCCCCAGCTCCCCACCGATTATTAAAAAAAAAGGCCAAATCCAAAAAAGAGGTGCAGGGAGAAGTTATAAGGTGAACATAGCATTATTCAGCATGAATACCAACATGAGCAAGGATGTCAGGGATTAAACGGTGGATTAGTGGTCACCATGTTATTTCTGTCCTTCAGTTTTGGTTATTAATAATATAACTACGTGATGTCAAGAACAGGGTGCTAGGTGTATGCTGTTTGACTGTTGTTGACGAAAATGTGGACAGAGATGTAACAAAATAGAACAAGGATTGATTGTTTTCAGATATTGCTTAATGTTAATTAACTTCTAAAGAGACCTACTTGTGAAGATGGAAGAATTTACAATCCTAGGGTTTTGTTATGCAAGTGATCTCATCAACTTGACTCTATAAATTCATTCTAATTGCTTTCCTAAGCTAAATCATCAACTGAATATGATTTTCATGATCTTTATGATCAACCTAACAGTATTTATGACAACTGTAAAACTTTTCAGACCAAAAAGACTCCAACAATGCATTTACCTGAAAACAAAAAAATTTCAAAAAAGGGACTTACTCCCTCAATTCAGGAATGTAACTTTTTGCCCTAAACATAGGCCTATGCCCATCTGCCACATATTTGGCTGCTTCATAAGGTTCATGATGTGACATCGGTGGATCACCTTCAAGCATCTGCACCATTCAGAAAATCATCAACTAGACAGTCTTTTACTTTGTATCTTGTTCAGAATTCTGATAGAAACCAAGATTACCTCATAGAGTATCATTGCAAAAGAGAAAACATCAACCTTCTTATCATATTTCTGGTGTTTGAAAACTTCAGGAGCCATGTATCGGTCTTTTGTTTCATTCCATGAAAAAATCAGAAAATAACTACTAATATTAAAAATTCCAACTATATTGAAAAAATGTTGCAAATCAGAGACTCACAGCTTCCAGTCTCGCCAGTCATTTTGTACACATCATGTGAATTTTGGACCTTAATAAGTTTGCTAAGTCCAAAGTCTCCAACTTTTAGATGGTCTGCACTGGAGTTGACTAGAAGTACATTCCTGAAGAACTATAGAGTCAGCCTGGCAGATATAGCAAGTAGAAAATGAAAAAAAGAAACAAAACCTAAGCCAATAAAATCACACACAACCCTGCTGGCGCTATGGAGAGATCTACAATTTCAGATCAATTAGGTTTCAATTTGCCTTTTTGAGGTCAAGGGTTCAAGTTCCCTCCCCATTCTCTCCCCCCCCAAAAAAATAAAAAATAAAAAATAACAAGATACCACTAAAACATTAGGAATTATTAAAATGATATTAAATTCATTCAGATCTTAGACAGCGAAACAACTAACCTTGGCTTTAGGTCTCTGTGAATTACAACATTGGGCTCATTGTGAAGATAAGCCATGCCTCTGCCCACATAAGATTTACCAAATTATAATTAGCATTTAACAGGGAAAAAATCTCAGATTAGCACAATAGCCGTACTCAATATGCAGCAATCCAGCAATTACGAAAAGGGCTATTGGGATAGATGTACACTTCTCCAACTTCCATCACATCTTTTCGCCAAATAACATTGACAGACCGTAACATGATACACATAATCCACTAATATTTCAGAGAAGAGTGACCTTGAAAGAGAAAATTAGTTCTTCTGCACTGTAAAAATAAAAGGGCCTTATTTTGCTAAAATACAAAATTAAGTACTAAAATTCTGAAGCACTCCTGGTTTTAGCCTCGTAATTGCAAGCGCAACAAAATTTACCAGCGGGTTAACCCTGAACAAAACAAAAAAAACCCTTCGATGCCTAGTATATTTAGTCTGCTCAGTTCTCTTTGTTATGCAACAAGTTCAAAACATCTAATTACAATTACAATTGCTCATCCACAGCAGCTTTCAAAAGACAATGACACTGTGGGAGGAAAAATGCATTGCAGGAGATATATTGATCCATGAGTCATGCCGATGCCCATGCGAATATGAGTAAACACCAATTACTGTCATTGTGGTTCCCTAACTGACCAAAAAAGAATTTTACCAAAAATCAATCCAAGCACTGATTCCTGAGGCATCAAACTTACAGTATGCCAAGGAAAGCATGAGAGAGGAAAGCTATCACACTGACAATGCAACTGAGGATCGGACTATCAGTTTTCCTGTTTTTTTTTTGGCTTTGGGTGGGTGTGAACTTAAGTGTTCTTTTTCCAAAATTTCCCACCCACCCTTCCTTTGTACAATTCTCACATATCACTGCAAAAATTATTTTCCAATTCCCATAATCCCAGAGTGTAGCTTACATACAGCTGGCTAGAATCAAGAGGTTAGAGGATCTGGCAATTTTTCTATTGTAAGTCGAGAGAATTTTTTTTCAGTACCTAGCAATGTCTAATGCAAAGTTGATCACTGTTGATGGATTAAGTGCACCCTTTTCCTTCAGGTACTGATGAAGATCACCCTATAACAAAATAGGAAAGCTACTATTTAGCAAAGGGGGTTCCTTTCATAAAAGAAGAAAAAAGTTCTACTAAACATGATACAAGCATGCATTTGCTTACCCCTCGTAAATACTCTGTAATTAACATTAAGGGCTTTTTTTCGGTAACAGCTCCTAGAAACTGCACTATATTAGGATGACGGAGCTTCACAAGCAAATTCACCTCATGCCTGAAGTCCTGACTGAATCAAATAAGAAAACATAAGCAAAGTAATTCAGTCCAACAGGATAAAGAAAGCTGGGGTTGGAAGATTTTTTTTTTGAATATCACGTTGTAGGTAGGACAAAAGTGCTTTAATTTATTTGGCGGGGATCTGTTAAACCTAGCTGGTACTAAACAGTAAATCCCTTCGTAAGCCAATGAAAACCCATCATCTCTTTTAAAAGAAGATTGGGATTTATTCATTTATTTATTTTTTGGACAGGAATGCACGGGATATGAAGTCAGAAGATTCCATGCCATTTGAAACTAAAATGTTACCCTTAACTCATAGCTTTGGTTCAGCCCCCATTGACAATCAGCAGGGTTCAACAAATAACATACCAATAAACTTGACATATCAATGAAAAATGGAATTATCAAATCCAGAATCCTGTAGTTAATGCAGTTGCAAATAAACCCTGATGCAAAAGTCAAAATAAATTAACCCAATTTTAAATGAGTATGGACAAATTGAATTTACATCACCAATCTATCATCTGAAAGGTTTGGAAGAATGCGTTTGATAGCCACAGGTGTTGCACGCCAACATGCTTTTAAAATCTCACCAAAGGATCCCTACCAGCATTAGCTATAATCAGCAATAGCAGATTGTGAAGATAAAATGAAAAAAGTTACATAGCACAAACACCGACACCCAAAATCCTTATCAAGATCTCCCACTATATTTGTTACACATTTCTGATATCACTAGAAAAGTAGCTTATATGTGAAACTCAAATTTATAATCCCCAGAATTTAGCAAATATCTTTTGGCAAATGAAACCACACCTTCCCTATGATAATTGAGTTCGAGAACTCCAGCTCAGAAGGGTCAATCTCCCAGTCGCACCTATTTGGTTGCGGGGGTAGAACAGGCCTTGGTTCATAATGACTTCCATTCTGGCCCTGCAGACAGAAAGATATCAGTATCTTCACAAAGACTTCTAGTGTCTTTGGCGTTTACATCAATAGACCAAAAAGGAAGAATCAAAGGAGCATTAAGGTTATATTTCTGCATCTCCATGCGCAAGTAATGGGTAACAGTAAAGTTAGAGGCTTAAGTTTGACTTACTTTTTTATGGTATTAATCTCATATTCATGTTCACAAGGATAACCTAATGCCAAGTTATTTACATCATCAGTTCACAAACAGAGGCCATTAATTTGTTTATCTGCAATGCAATGACTGATTGAAGTACCATACCAGCAATAAGATTTCCTGACCTTCAGAACTTACGTCGCAAGTGGCTTCAATAGTCGATAAAAATACCAAGTATAAACTACCATCAAACCCTCTTGAATTGTCTGAAATCATTTGAATATCAAATCAGCAGCATTCTAGTCCGTTCACTCAATCACATCCATTCATCCCTGTTAGAGACTGTAACATGTAATTATGTATCGAATATGGATGTTTTAATGCTTTAGGGAGATATTTTGTCCCATTTAACGCCTAGGTGGCTTTAGAAAGATAAAAAAACTAAAACCACATGTAGTCAGCATATCATTGTCACATCTAGGAGTACACTAAGTGAACGTACATCAGAATTTGAAACTGAGGTCCAATAAACTTTCGACGGATGACCTCTTAAAGGAAACAACAAATGACATTACAGGAATTACTCACACAAGACATAGACAAGCCCTAAACTTAAAAACCAGAACACATCAAATCATCGGGAAATTCATGACATTTAGCACTACATATCACTACAAGATATAGCTAGTAGAAAGAGGGTCATGAAACCACTGAACTAATAAGTCTATCCAAATTAAAACTGTCATGAACTGAATACCAATACCACAATGCCACCATCAAAATGCCTCTCCACAAATTCAATTCATACTGAAACAAAATTTTGAATCACATCTTAGCCAAATGCACTAATTATTCATACGTGTGCAAATTAATTTTGAACCAAGTAACTTCCAAAAAAATTTTTGTAAATGAGTGTTCTCAAAAAGTAAGACATGCTTCAATTTAAACAAATTTATGAACAATCTAAAGATGCAATCTAGAATAGCTGTTTGTAAAGAAGCCAACAACTACCCCAAACTAGCTAATTATACTGAGACTAAACCATCAATACAATCATCTTAATGACAACAGAAAGAAAATTAACAAATCAAATCCTGCATAACATTACGGTTTGAGGGAAACTGGAGAGAACTGAACTTACATAACACAGGCCACCATATGACTTTAGCAACTCACTCATGCTATACTTTTTAGCTCCTTCAGCATCAGCTAAAGGCTGTCATGAGTAAACCAAGCTCAGATAACATATCGAGCGTAGAAGTAATGATTTATCTAGATGAAGACACTCTGGTCGACAAAAAAGAGGCTTATATAAAAAAATGTTACTATGCATGATTGAAAAAAACACATAATATATTAGCAATTTTCACATTGCCCCTGTCTGCCCATGAACCATACAATCCTCAAGTAACACCGCAGTATGAGACATAAGAAGGCACATAAGGTAAGACAGGTAAGCAGAATTAGTTTTATGCTATGCAAGAGAAAAAACAAGAAGATACATAACAATGGTTCAGAAATCAAAACACATATGCACCGTTACAAGATCCAACCCACGCTCAGGGAACAACCAATATCTAATAGCATGCAAACAAAAACAAGTAGGATACAGTTTATGATTTTGGTAAATCTCAATAAACCTTGTGAGGTCTTTTAGTATGCCTCAAACGCCATAGTTGATGCGTGCATGTGTAGAGTATATCGAAAAATAGGTCCTTGTACAGACAGCAGGCAAATACAACAGGCCAAAACATAGCAATTGCATCTAGGCAATGCAATATGAAACACTAGATCATGAACCATTAACTCAAAAAAGATGTATCAGGTCANTAACAGGCCAAAACATAGCAATTGCATCTAGGCAATGCAATATGAAACACTAGATCATGAACCATTAATTCAAAAAAGAAGATGTATCAGGTCAATCCTTTCAGGCAACTGTCACCTTGGGGAGTAAATATTCAATGCAACGGTGGCACCACATCATCAATGTCAAGTAGTGTTACCATCCAATTAGAAGATTACANGTGCATGTGTAGAGTATATCGAAAAATAGGTCCTTGTACAGACAGCAGGCAAATACAACAGGCCAAAACATAGCAATTGCATCTAGGCAATGCAATATGAAACACTAGATCATGAACCATTAACTCAAAAAAGATGTATCAGGTCAATCCTTTCAGGCAACTGTCACCTTGGGGAGTAAATATTCAATGCACCGGTGGCACCACATCATCAATGTCAAGTAGTGTTACCATCCAATTAGAAGATTACAATTAGACAAAGTGAACCTCACTATTTTCATAATAACCACCACATTCAAACATCAACACATAGAATTAGTGGGATCCACTTTATCTACTTATGATTTTCTAATTGAATGATGATACACGTGGCGGTGATGACGTGGTGTCAGTGTTGCATTAAATATTTTCTCCACCTTGAGGTTTTAACTTGCCAAAGAATCAATGCTGTTGGCATTGATAGTTGCCGGGAAAAGCAAAATTTAGTTAAACTAGTCCCGAAATTCAAGACAGAAAGGAAGAAACTACAAGAGAGAGAGAGAGTGATGCAATGGAATTTTCAAATTCAATTGAAGTCCATAGAATTTCTGGATGGAAACGAGATCAGACATTGTTAAACATATTACAACTACCAAGAAATCAACAATGTGAACATGTTCTAATGATGATCATGTTGGGGTTGTTAGAGTTATAGTTGAAGTTGTCAAAAGTTCATTCAGTTAATAAATCCTATTATTTAGGATATGTAGGTAGAGTCTGACCATTTCTTTAGTCATTTTACCATGTTATTAGGATCAGTAGAACGTGGGTTGTTTGTTTTTCAATCTTATCTCTTTGTAAGGCTTATATAAAGCCAACAGCTTGTTTTGAATAATATAACATTCATTCAGATATTTTTTCTGAATTGCTTTGTGCTTAGAGTTTACAACAA